GACTTAAGTTACCCTCAACTTGGAGGAAGGTTTTTACCAAAGAATCTCAGGGATTTGTGTGTGGCTTACATCTACCTAATATGTTTAAGATTTGAATAAAGGCAAAGATGGAAATCTTATCAAATTTGGGGATGACAGAAAGCTTGTAGGGTTAACTAAGAGGCATAGACTTGGGTCCACAAAGAGCTCAACAAGATAGAGCATTGGGTTAAATCTAATAAAAGTAAATTTTAGTAGGAATGAATGTAAAGTCCTAACTTTGGGTTCAAAAAATCAATGGCAAAAGTGAAGGATGGCAACTAAACCATAGTTCACGTGCCAGAGATTTTCATTAATTTTCATGAATTACGAACTTATTATAACTCGATATAATGATATATAAGCCAAAAAAGAAAAAGCCCACACAATCTTTTTTTTTTTTTTTTTTTAGCTAGGCAATGGGGTTAAATGACTTGTCGGGAGTCACACAGCTAGTAAGTGTTATGTGTCTGAGGCTGGACTTGAACTCAGGTCCTCCTGAATTCAGGGCTGGTGCTCTATCCACTGTGCCACCTAGCTGCCCCAAGGCTTTTTTTTGTTTATTTGTTTTTTTTTATTTTTAGGCAATTGGGGTTAAAGTGACTTTCCCAAGGTCACACAGCTAGTAAGTGTCAAGTGGTTGGTCTGAGGCTAGATTTGAACTCAGGTCCTCCTGACTTCAAGGCCAGTGCTCTATCCACTGTGCCACCTAGCTGCCCCTAGCCAACACAATCTTAAAAGAAAGATATTGTGTTCAGGATGTAGCTGAAGTCATCCCTAATCAAATCAAATCTGGATCATTGTGTTCATTTCAAGGTGCTACTTTTTAGGAATGATATTGAGAAGTTGGAGCACCTTTAAGACTTGGGGATCAGAAAGGTGATGCTCTTAGAGACCATGGGGATTATGTATTAATTGGAAGAATTCAGGACACAAAATTTTCTGGAAAGACATAATAGATCTTCTCAAGTATTTGAAGGAAGGTCCTGTGGAGGAAGGATGAAATTTATTCTTCATGGCCCTAGACTAAATATGATATAAGGATTTACATGAAAAAGAGGCAAATTTAGTTAGATAAAGCATTTATTAAATGCTTACTGTGTTTCAGGCACTGAGGTTTAGATTCAGCATAAAGCCAAACTTTCTTTTTCCTTAACAATTTGAGTTGACACTCTGGTCGAGACAATGATCCAAGAAATTCCAAAGGACCCATGATGAAAAATGTCATTCACCTCCAGAGAGAGAAGTGATGAACTCTGAATGCAGATTAAAACATAATTTTCTTTACTTTATTTTTCTTTTTTTGTATATGTTTTCTTTTGCAACATAACTAATATGGAAGTACGCTTTGTATAATTTCACATGTCTAAAAGATATGAAATTGCTTGCCTTCTCAAGGAGTGAGGAGAGGAAAGGGAGGGAGAGAATTTGTAACTCAAAATTTTTCAAAATTATTAATTTTTTACATGTAACTGGGGAGCATTTAATGAAGTAAGTAAAGAATACACTTTAAAAAAAGCTGAGACAAAGTAGAATGGGCTGTTTTGAGTTCCTCTTCAAATAGAGATTGGATGCTTATTTATTAGGGGTATTTTAGAGAGGAGTCATACCTTCTTTAAAAATCTATGATGTGACATCTCTCTAAACTATGCCACCATGGTCCCCTTTCCTGCAGCTTTTCTTATTCATTGCCTTCCCTCATTAGAATATAAGCTCCTTGAGGACAAGGACTATCTTTTTTGCTTATATATTTATATTCCCACCTCTCAGCACAGTATTTGGTATGCAGTGAGCACTTAATAAATGTATGTTGACTCTTTATGAATGACTTTTTCATAGCTCCCTATGTTTGTTCTCTTGGCTTTTGCTGATGATTGGACTCATCTACCTTAGACTTCTTTGTCACTGTCCCTGCCTTCTCTGACAATGGTATTTTCTTATCTTCATAGTCGTTCGGGCTAGTAAATTTCCTCAAAACTTAAAATCTTGAGAATTCCAAAGTCTCCTCCCACCTTACTTGTACTTTAGTATTTAGGTGATGTCAAACCTGGACCTGATGGCAGGAGCTCCATCCTGCTGGAATACTTTACCTAAGATCATTAACTGAGATGTGGAAGACACTATAGAATCTGTCCAGTCCAACCCACTCATTTTATAAATGAAGAAACTGAGGCTTTAAGAATTAGTCCAAAGTCACACAGATAGTATGTGTCACAGGTAGGATTTGAACCCAGGTTCTCAGGCTCCACATTCAGTGTTTCTTTTCATTGTACCACAATGTGTCCTGTATGACCTTGTAAAAATCTCTCGGTCTCTCTGGGCGTCAATTTTTCATCTGCAAAATAAGAGTGCTAGGCTAGAGAGTTTTTAAGGTTTTTCCCAAATCTAAAACCATGATTTTATGAGATTATAACTTGTTAATCTTCCATTAAGCTGCATCCATCTTCTCTGCCAAGGCCCTCTGCCAGCTATCATCCCAGTT